GCCTTATGCCGTTCCCGGCGAACAATCGCTGTTTGGACTACGATGCAAGATGCTGACAAAATCACAGTTCCCGCCGGCACTTTCTCCGCCCGGGGTACCCAGGTGATCCCAGCCGAGTTTGTTAGTGCCCTGCCGGCGATTGCCTTCCAGATCCCCGATATCGCGGCCCTGGCAACGCTTCAGCTCAAGGCTCTCGATTCCGGGCGGGACGTAGCCTGTATCAGGTCCCAGGTGTCTAACGGCAAGACGGCCAACGTCCCAGCTGTGTCATACGTGGCAGTTGGTGTCGCTGGCGCTGCCCTGGTCATGACCGGTGTGACGGCTGTTGGGGCCGCTGTGGCCGGTGGAAGTGGCGCGGCGGCTGGAGGCAGCGCCGCGGGCGTTGGCACCATCAGCCCTTCCTTCACCGAGGTCTTTGGCTGGTTTCAGGGCATAGCCATGAACGGCATGCTGTCGGTCAACTACCCCCAGGTTTACCGCAGCTTCGTCAAGAACTTCGCCTTCTCGACCGGCCTGGTTCCCTGGACCGGCCTACAGACGTCCATCGACCAGTTCCGCAACATGACGGGCGGAAACCTGACGGCCGACAGCGTGGCCACCCTGCGCAACGCCACCCTGGTGTACCCGGACGGCTCCATATCCACGTCAGACAAGTCCCAGCCGTTGAAGCTGAAGCGCGCGCTCGACAGCATTGTGACTCTCGCCGCGCGGCAGATCGAGACCAGTGTTAACACCACTGCTCCTGCGGCTGGCCAGCCAGGCGCGGCTGTGCCCGCCCAGATCCGACTGGCCGTCACGGGCATCCAAGCCTATGCGAGCGAGCTCGCCGTGCCATCGGCCAACACCTTCATGACGGTGCTGTTGATCGTCGCCATCGCCATTGCTGCCATCGCCGTCGGCATCTTGCTGTTCAAGCTCATCCTGGAATTCTGGGCCCTCTTTGGCAACTTCCCCAAGTCCCTGGTCGGCTTCCGCAAGCACTACTGGGGCTCCATTGCTCGAGCAATCACGTCGCTGATCCTGCTGCTCTATGGTATCTGGGTCCTGTACTGCATCTTCCAGTTCACCCATGGCGACTCGTGGGCGGCAAAGACATTGGCCGGAATCACCCTCGGCCTGTTCACGGGTGTCCTGGTCTTCTTCTCCTTCAAGATTTGGTACACGGCGCGCCAGCTCAGGAACGTCGAGGGCGATGCCAGCGGCCTCTATGAGAAGAAGAACATTTGGGTCAAGTACAGCATGTTCTACGAGTCGTACAAGAAGGACTACTGGTGGATTTTCGTGCCAACCATCGTCTACCTGTTCGCCAAGGGCACGGTCATCGCGGTGGGTGACGGCCACGGATTGACGCAGACCATAAGCCTGCTGGTCATTGAGGGCGTCATGCTTGTCCTCCTCATATGGAGCCGTCCCTACGAGCGCAAGTCGGGCAACGTTGTCAACGTCGCCATCGCGGTCGTGCGTGTGCTTTCTGTGGTGGTCATTCTGGTGTTTGTCCAGGAGTTTGGCATCGCCCAGACGACACAGACGGTCGCCGGGGTGGTTCTCATCGTCATACAGTCGACCCTGACGGGTATCCTGGCCATCCTGATCGCATGGAACGCCATCAGCGCCTGCTGCAAGGCGAACCCCCACCGCCAGCGGAGAAAGGAGCTTGGTAAGTCAGCCTCCGTTTACACACTCCCCTTGATAATGCGTGCTTGTTTTGCTAACCCGCTATACAGAGAAAATGCGCGACGTGGATAACCTCACTCCCCTGGATGCGCGCAACTCGCTTCTCATTGACAGGACCAAGTCGAACCAGGACTCGTCAACCACTTTTGCCGTGGCCAACACTGTCGACGAGAAGAAATCCATGCCCCAGATGTCGTACCCGGACAGATACAGCAACGATGCCGCCAACCCGTACGCCAACAGGAAGGCGCCGTCAGCCACTGACAGCTTCAAGGCGGACACTTTCAGGCCGCTCACGCCCAGCGCGCCGATGGCGTACAACAACGAGGGCAAGGACACGCTTCTCTCGAGTGCTGCGCCGATCGGCAGGGCGGATTCGCGGCAGCCGACCCTTCCCGTGTTCAATTCGGGGCCAGGATACGGCCCCCCGCGGGATAACAGCTTCACCCCAGCTCCCGGATACGGTGGTGGCGGCTACAGCCAGGGGGCTTACGGGCAATCCGGCTACAACCAAGGAGGATACGGCTATGGGGCGCCTCCCCGCGGCTACTAGTACTGAGCATGCCAGGGATGGGAACAACATCCAAGAAAGAGTGTCGTTTACAAATGCGGACTCGTTTGATAGTGTGAGATAGGAGAGGACCAAAAGGTTGATGACCAAAGCCGGCTCACAATCAACAAATCGATTCAGAAGACTCGAAGGCACTGACCGACGCGGTGTTGGTTCCGTTGATGGCCTGTATTTCTATTTGCTTTTGTCTGCACATACCCCGTTTTCTTTATAGTATCTAAATATCCACCCAGGTAGTCACCTAGTTTTCCTTACTTATGACCCGAATGCGGAGCTTGGTTCACTTTGTATTTTCACCTTGGCCTAGGCATTTTCTATGCAAATCCAAATAATAATCTGCGAAACCCGAGTCTGACACAGAACCTTTGTTTATGAGATCCCTCTTGGAGGGCAGCTACCGTGTGTAAGTCGTGCCCCATGCTCATCGTGACAGACGCTCTTTGTACCAATTCCATGTGTATGATTTATTCTTGTCGGATCGGCCCTTGGGAGGACAATTCGGCAGCTATACGGAGCTGGCAACAGTGGGGAGACTCACACGCAGCAAATGCGGTCGTGGGCTGGAGCAACGTCATAATCACACAGTGTGTGGGACTTTTATTGACCTTGGTTGCTGCAACTGCGGCAATAACAACATCAAACCACGACGACGACGGCGGCGGCGCGAAAAAGAGAATCACGCAACCGCGCCGACGCCCGCTCTTTTTTTTGTTCAACAAAAAAAAACACCAAGCTTGGCGTCCTTGTCCTTGCCTTTCCAGACCGGCCGTCGCAACGATCCGAACCCCGCCTCAGGCACAACGGTTCCGGCGGGCTCGTGAAAAAGCCTCGACCATGAGCGAGCTGCAGCGTAAATGGGCAAAGACGAGGGCCGCCCAGCCGCCCGACGCCCTGCTGGTGGCCGCGGCCGCGCTCGACGAGCAGCTCGAGGACGGGGCGACGGCCGACATCGCCGAGGCGCCCGAGGATGAGGGGGAGACGGGCACGGTGCCGGAGCTGCCCGAGTTTGCCGACGACGACTCCTCGTCGGCGTCGTCGGCGTCGTCGACGGGCACCGTTGTGCCTTCGCCGCGCCAGAACCTGTTTGCCAGGCCACAAGGGTTCGGGAGTCCCGTTATCTGCTTTCTCGCGCCCCTTGATCCCCCCCCTCATACCCCCCAGCTTGTTGTATCTTGTTCTCGGCTCGGTTCCCAAACACACACCACTGGCAGGCCCCCATTAACAAGGATTGCACTAACGGGCTGTGACGGGGAGGGCGAGGACCGTACCGCCCAAACCCCCATTGGATGACAACATGACAAAATAGCTTTCCAAGAGGAAGGACCATGGACGTCATACCCTGGACCACGTACTTTGAGCGCGAGCTCTTCCTAGAGATCGAGCGGGACGGTGGCAGCAACACCGTCACCTTCCACACCTACCTCACGTCGCCGGTGGGCAAGGGCCCGCTGTTCGTGATGCACCACGGCGCCGGCTCGTCGGGGCTCAGCTTCGCCGTCGTTGGGGCCGAGATCCGGAAGCGGAACCCGTCGGCCGGCATCCTGTCGCTCGACGCGCGCGGCCACGGCTCCACGACTGTCGCCGCGGCCGGGAGCAGCGGCGGCGGCGGCGACAACAAGCAACAGCCACCAACACCACCGCCACCGCCGGACCTGAGCCTGGGAACCCTGGCGGCCGACCTGCTCGCCGTGATCCGGGCGACCGGGGAGCGGATGGGCTGGGCCAACAGCAGCAACAGCAGCAGCAGCAGCAACGGCTCCTCCGCGCCGCCTCCTCAGCTACCACCCATCGTGCTGGTGGGCCACTCGCTCGGCGGCGCCGTCGTGACGCACCTGGCGAGCACGGGCGCGCTGGGGGACGACGGCGGGCTGCTCGGCTACGTCGTGCTCGACGTGGTCGAGGGCTCGGCCATGGACGCGCTACAGAGCATGCAGACGTACCTGTCGACCCGCCCGGCCGGCTTCTCGTCGGTCCAGGCCGCCGTCGACTGGCACGTGCGCTCCCGCACAGTCCGCAACTCCGTCTCGGCCCGCACCAGCGTCCCGGGCCTGCTGGTGCGTCGGGAGGAAGAGGAGGGCGGTGGTGGTGGTGGCGATGATGCAGCCGCTGCCGCTAGGCCCTGGAGGTGGCGAACCGACCTGGCCGCCACACAGCCCTTCTGGGAGGGGTGGTTCGTCGGCCTCAGCAAGAAGTTTTTGAGCGCCCGCGGCGGGAAGCTGCTGCTCCTGGCCGGCACCGACAGGCTGGACACGGAGCTGACCATTGGTCAGATGCAGGGTAGGCTCGTCGTCATCCATGCACCCGTCCATCATCCATATCTATCGTCTACTCTGAACCGGCCTTGCTGATGACCCCGTCTGGAACGAGGGCTGGAAACGAACAGGAAAGTATGCGCTGCAGGTCTTTACCGAGGCGGGCCACTTCGTCCACGAGGACCTGCCCGAGAAGACGGCCATCGCGCTCGTCGACTTCCACCGCCGCAACGACCGGACGTCGCTAGTGCTGCCGCCCAAGGTCTCGGAGCTGCTGGCGCAGGGGAAGAGAGTGTAGGGGTGGGCTGTGGTAGCTACGGCAGAACCGGCGATATGACTTGACGGCGGCGGCGTCGCCCCAAGTGTTGGGGCGGCTTTATGCACTTTCTTCCTTCAAAGGGATACCCATTTCCAAGACTTTTTTTTCTCTTGCCTAAATTCAATATCATCAAAAGAGAAGACAAGGCGCTGGACGTGAACAATCCCGGTTTCTGCCTGTACATGCTTGCCGTGAGGATCACCAAACTTCTTATTTATTTCTATAGTCCCAGTCGGTTTTGTGCACCGCATGCCCACCCAGTCTCGAAAAACGCCGGCGCGAATGCAGAGAGGTACCGACTCCAGGGAGGTAGGTACCTACATGGGGGTATGTTCACGGAAGTAGGAAAGACGGAAAAGGGAAAGAGGTCCCGAGAACGAACTAGGTCGAAAGAGCCGTCGGTTCCGGGTTAGGCGACGACGCCCGTGGCTCCGCCTGCGGCCGAGCGGCGTCGACGCCCCGTTCGGACAGGGGCTTGCGCGGCTTCGCGGCCGCGTCCCTGGCCTGGGCCATGCTGCCGCCCGAGGCCAGCGCGGCCGGGTTGCCCGTCCTCTTCCTCTTGTCCTTGCCCTTGCCCACGGGCGGCTCGTTCTTGGGCTTTGGCGGCTCGAGGTCCAGGCACGCGTCGACGTCGCGCGCGCGCTGGGCCAGGTCCGCCAGCCCCAGGGCCTCGCAGAGGGCCTCGTACGTCTTGGCGCCCTGCATGACGCGGAACTCGGGCCGCTTGCCGGGCACCATGTTGTTGAGCAGGAACTTTGTGTTGCCGAAGCGGTTGTGAGTGTCCAGGCAGACGGCGACGAAGCGGGCGACGACCTCGTCCCAGGGGGCCGGCCCGCCGTCGGCTGCGGCGCGGAAGCAGCTGGGGTTGCGCTCGGCCGTGGTCGCGATCATGGCGCCGTCGGCGCCGTGCTCGGCGGCCAGGCTCAGCCCTTGGTCGCGGTCCTCGACGTCGCCGTTCATGAGGCAGGCGACGCCGGCGGCGCGGCAGACGTCGGCGACCATGCGCAGCTGGCCGCGGATGGCGGGCTCGCGCGGCCGCATGGGCGTGGTGCGGCAGTGCACCGTCAGGCCCGTGATGCCCGTGGCGACGAGGCGGCGCACGAGCGCCTCGGTCTCGGCGGGCGTCTCGAGTAGGCGGATCTTGACGCTGATGCCGATCTGGGCCGCCGGCGCGACGTCGCGCACGAGCGCCTTGAGGATGGCGCACAGCCGGTCCGGGTCGCGCAGCAGCGCGGCGCCCATGCCGCCCGTCGTGCTGAAGGGCTTGGGGCAGCCGGCGTTGAGGTCGATGCCGGCCACGTCGCCGGCCACGAGCCGTGCGGCCTCGACGGCGCGCGCCGGGTCGCCCGACCCCAGCTGGAATATCAGGCGCCTGCCCTCGAGCTCGGGGTGGAGCTTGAATATGATGGATTCCTTGGCCTCGGCCGGCGGTATCTTCTGGCCGAAGGAGGGCACGCGCGTCCACTCGATCGTGTTGGTGGCGGGGTTGACGCGGCGCGTGGTTCCGAGCATCGAGTAGTCGACCGTCTCGGGCCCTGCGAAAGGGGCGAGAAAGGGAGGGTCAGCAAAAGAAACCGCGCCTGCGCATTCACTCCAACATCCTTCCCACTCTCCCCGCCGCCGCACGTACCCCAGACTAGATCTGCGCCGTAGTGGAGCGCAAGCAGCCGCGTGGGCAGCTCGCCAGAGCGCACCATGGGCGCGAGTACCACTTTGCCGCGATAGTCGACGCCCCGGGGCGGGATGGGTACGGTTTTGGTGGGCGGGCTGGCGGCGGCCATGGTGCTCGTGGTCCTTCTCGCGATGCGCGAGAGGAGCGACATCTAGCTCGGTGGTTCCGTAATACTCCCGGCCGGAGGGCGGGCCTGTTGCTGCTTCCGGCGCACGGCGGGTTGGGAGAGGTCCGGGCCGGGAGGAATGTGCTTTTTTTTTTTCTTCGTCACCGGCGCCGCCTGCCGCCGCGGGTCCAGCGCCATCGGCCGCGCTATCGCTTATCGTCAATGCTCCCGTTGCCCCATTCTAATGATTGGATGGTGCTACGCCAACATTCCCCACCAAGTCACCCCGCCAAGGCGTCTCATTGGAGAGAACCGGTAGCCCCTTGGCACAGTAGACTTTCGTCCTTTGTTGACCAACGATCGCGACTGGTGCCTGCATCTCTCCGCTTTGGAAGGAAAAAACTGGCCTCCATGCTGTGCGACTGGCTGTTCCGTGGTTTCGGCTGCAGGCTCCCCCCTCCTGAATGACCACACATCGACACCCCTCACGAACCGAACGTTGTCTGCTTTTTGTCTTCTCCAGCAGCTTTGGTTTTCATTGGCCGTCACTCCGCAGCTGCTGGTGGTTAATGCAGAATCGTGCCGCAGACTTCCCTACACACACTGCGAGCCGTCTGCTGATGCACCCAAAGTGGACGGCATGGGCATGACACTCGTGGGCGGATGGCACGCATCTCGAGCTTGTGCGTGCAGGAGACCTTTACACGTCTCGAAGTGGCTTCCATGTCGCAGCAATGGCTGCCCGACTGCCTCCGCCTGCCTTGCCTGCCCCAGAACCGCCCCAGCCCAGCACAGGTGCCGCGTAGGTAGCCTGAGCCGAAATTGCCGAGCTGGACGTCGGGTTGCCACTTTGAAAAAGATCGGTAGGACGTCCCTGCCAGCGTCGCACTCTCGCGTGCCCAGAAGGGATATGCCTCCGACAAGCCGGCCGGTCGGAATTGATTTTTATGGGGCGACAACGCTCGACAGCCTGCCATCGCCACCTCCACGGAGTTGACGTCGGGCGGGTGCGATGCGATTAATTTTGGGTTCCCCAGCCCGCCTTCCGCCAGCCGTTTAGCATCCATGCCCACTACCAGAGGCCCAAACAGTCTACCTTATTGTCGATTGCCCATGCCCCGCCTGCAGAAAACCATGTTCCCGTCCACCATGCCACCGTCGCCAGCGACCCTCTCTCCTTTTCTCCCCTCCATCTCCTAGCGGCCGCCACCAGCAGCGATCAGCAATGTTCAGCCCCTTTTCCCGCCCCTCTGTGCCCCGCACGCTGGCGATCTGTGCGCCCCCTCCATTCCTCCCCTCTGGCATTTGAAACATGCTGTTGCGAGAGATCAGCGGATCCACAACACGACATGCCCACCAGTTTTGCACGAGTGCGGGGCGCCGCTATGTCTCCACAGCCCTCCCGCCGCCCGCCCAATCACCTTTTGCATGTCTGCGGCCGGTCAACCGGTCCAGACCTCTCTGTGGATGCTGCGTCCAATCACGTTTACAGATGGCATGCGCGAGGCACCACCATCACATCTGAACCGACATGCGATGGCGCGCCGTTGAAAATAATAAAAGAGAGAAAAATAGTAGCATCAATGAGAAATAGGAAGTGGGCTGGCACTTGGCTGCCCAATCTGCCCAGCCTCATTCTCTTCTTCCGTATGCTTCGTTTTCATTCTCAGCCCACTTTTCTTCTTCTCTTTTTTCACTCTCCCTTTGTCCGTTTCCGAGTCGGAAACCTCCGCTGACGTCAGTGGAGGGGCCGCACGTCCCAGGTACCACGTGCTCAGTGACAGTCCCGTCGGGATACTGAAAGGGGCTGATGTGGGCATGTGGGCTCTCCTCGGAGGCCTGCAACGCCAGTTCACGTCAAATACAGCCCGTCTCGAATGAAATTTCAGGACACACCGACAAACAGCGCTCTGTTCCAGACTGGCTGACTAGAACAGCCGCCGCTCTGAGTCTTAAGGTTCATGTCGATCACTCCCGGACGTCAAGGGGTGAGAGGGAGCACGCTTGCCCGCTACGATTGGACGACAGTCACGGGTGGCAAAAATCGGGCAATCCGCTGCCCTGGTCTCCCACAACTCTAGCGAGCAGAAGTATCCATCAATGCCGTGATTTTTTCTTTCTTTTCGGATTGAATGTTTGTGTGTGTCGCTAGGCAGAATTTGGTCAAGGGCCATCTTTATGCACACCAGGGGCTGGGGTTCATACTCTCACGCTGACTGACTAACTTCGCAGGACATGTGAATCCAACAGCGCCTCGATATGCCTGCGCCTTTGGCGTGCAGAGAAGCCCGACAGGCGACGACTCAGTGACAGCGGGCAGGTGGATTTGGCGGGTCGGGCTGGGTTCCTTGCAGACTGTGGTGGTTGGTCTAAGACGAACGCGGGAAATGGGTGCCGGGTGTCAGGGCGAGTCTCTACATTGCGAGACATTTTGGCGACGATCCAAAAAGTCCCGTTCTCGATCTTTTGGTAGGGGCGGGGGTGCCTGCGGTGTGCCGTATCAATAGAAAACGGTATCTGTTGGTGAGCACTCGGCCGCGCCTGGAAACGGGAGCGCCGCCGATCATCCATTTTGTCTTGTCTGGCCCAGAAATCAGACGGAAACATTCATTTAGATGCCACAAACAGCCAGCCCGATTGATGCATCCGTTCGGTCCTGTTCTCCTCACCCGCTGTCCCGTTGCCCCATGTCTCTGGTACTATTTCCAGGCCAGCTGGAAACCAAAC